CCCTCTTTCCCAAGCATCAGCTGCTCAGTTTTCCAGGAGTTTTCCCCAGGGGTGGCTAAGGTTTGCAGCGCTGGACAAAGCGTGGGTAGAGACAGACATCTCGGATGTGGTGTCTGTTCAGAATCCAGGTCAGGAACCGCTCCAGCCCCAAGCCGTATCCGCCGTGAGGGCACGTGCCGTACTTCCTCTGCGGGGCAGAGCAGAGAGCACACGTTGCCTTGGGGTTTACAGTGACACCACAGAGAACAGGAGGGAAAACCCAACTCTGGCATCTGCCAGGCAGCACATCTGCTGTACCCACCTGGTCGGTGTACCAGTAGTAGGGCGTGGGATCGATGCCCTCTCTCTTGTAGCCTTCCAGCAGCTCCTCGCTGTCCCACGTACGCATGGAGCCTCCCACGATCTCACCCACATTGGGCATCAGCACATCCACCTGCAACACACACACAGCGTCCAACGCTTACACTGCTGCTGCTGTGGGAGGAGAAACGGCCGAACAGGCCACGCCACGAGACACCCAGGAAAAAACTGGGAAGGAATCTCCAAGGCTTTACCTGGAGCCCTCCCTCGCTCACCCCACCCCGTGAAGCAGCACTCACCGACTCGGTGAGCCGCGTGTCGTCGTGGCATCGCTGCATGTAGAAGGACTTGATCTCTGCAGGAAATCGGCACAACAGGATGGGCTCATTGATGGTGTCTGTCATCAGCCTCTCGGGAGCCTCGGGGATATCCTGAGGTTGGAGAAGGTAATACTTAGCACCAAACCTGCTCCAGCGCACGAGTCCCACACGAACCCGGCACGGAACAGTGTCGGCCCACGTGTGTCCACACATTCATCCCCGTGGACCTAAGTTCTTAAACTGACCTTGGAAGAAATATACTTAGGTATAAAACATACATATCTGGGGAAAAAAAATCTGTTCAGTTAAAATCAAAGTATTCTCAATGTCTCAGACAGAAAACTAAGGGGAAAAAAATCTTGGCTATGCCATCAAGCTCTCTTGAGCTCCTTCAGACAGCTGTCTCGTGTTGGAGAAGAGCAATGACAGTGACAGCACAGGTTTTGATCCCAATGTCCAAGGACATCAGGTGAAATCCCAACCCACCCTGCTATGACATTAGTACAGCTCCCAGCAAGACTCACCTCCCCAAACTCGTAGTAAGTGCCATCCTCCTTCTTCACATCGTGTTCCCTCAGCCACTCGATGGCCTCGGCGTAGTTCATGCGCCGGAAGGGACGCTTGGGGGGCTGGAAGCCCTGCAGGTAAGAGCAGACAGGCACCGTGTCAAAGAGGAACACTGTTCCAGCTGATCAGAGTGTCCACTTCCAGACCTGAGGTACACACACACACGACTCCCCAGCTCACACATCATCGAACATAAACGACTCAAGCTCAGTCCTGCAAAGCCAGAACTGAACACAGCTATTCCCAGCCTAGTACAGCTCTCAGGACAGCTGGCAGGACAGAGAAGCAAGGATTTCCAAAGCTGATTCCTGTTCTCACTTAATTCACTGCCCAAGGAGATACTCAGCAGCGGCCTGAGAGGTGTTATTGATGCTTTACTGATGTCACTGAATATTCTTCTTATTAATAGCAGGTAAGCTCACTGATATGCCCTGCCTTCCCAAAGGAACACACTGATCAGGAAAGGCTAAAGATCCCACTTCTTGGCTGCTCCCCACCACTGCCTACCGGGTTGAGGTCGTACAGCAAACTCGCTGCAGGAGATTTCAGGACTCTGTCCACAACATCACAAACCAAGTTCTCCAGACGGTCCAACAGATCCTCAAAGCTTATAAAAGGACATTCAGCTTCCACGTGAGTGTACCTGGAACAGAGTCACACCACTGCAAACCACGTACAGGCACCACATCTTTAGCTGTGAAATAAACTCTCTTAAAAAACCACAGCCCAAACACACATTTCTGCCCCCTTTTGCATTTCTCCCACTCTGCACTGTAGAGGAAATAAATCAGGAAGACTAAAGATAAAGACAACTGCCCATACTCTGCCAAGTGCCTGCGGGTCCTGGACTGCTCAGCCCTGTAGGACTGAGCGACGCAGAAGACATCTCCCAGGGCTGGCAGGCAGGTCTCCAGGTAGAGCTGGGACGACTGTGTCAGGTATGCCTCCTCCCCAAAATAATCCAGCTTGAACAGGGTCGAGCCTCCTTCCACCTGCGTCTGCACCAGGGTCGGAGGTGTGACCTGTTGAGGAACAGGGCTGTCACTGCCAGAGTGAGGCACTGAGACGAAGGGGCAGCACAAGTCAAGGCACTAGAGGAGTCACCTGCTGGCCAGGGACACACTTACCTCATAGTACCCGTTGGCAAAGAAGTGATCCCTGAAGGCCTGCAGGACCATGGAGCGCACCTTGAAGATTTTGGACATGTTCTCTCCCCGAATCATCATGTGCCTGTTGTTGAGCTGCACATCCACCTCCGAGTCCTCGTTGAGCAGGTTGTCAGCTCCTCCGGCCGGGGCCAGGCCGATGAGCTCCCAGTAATCACAGCTCAGCTCGTGGCCTCCTGGAGCCTGACAGGGGGACACAAACACACTTACCACAAGCATCCACCGTCTGCACCTGGCACGGCTTTTTACAAGGGATGGGGTGACAGGGCAAGGGGAATGGCTTCACACTGACACAGGGTTAGATGGGATATCAGCAAGGAATTCTCCCCTGTGAGGTGCTGTGGCACTGGCACGGGTTGCCCAGGGAAGCTGTGGCTGCCCCATCCCTGAAAGTATTCAAGGCCAAGTTGGACAGGGCTTGGAGCAATCTGGGCTGGTGGAAGGTGTCCCAGCCACAGCAAGGAGTGGAGCTGGATGAGCTTTAAGGTCCTTCCAACCCAACCCAGGCGTCTGTGACTCTGTGGGTTCTGCTCTCACCTGTTCCCCTGAGTGGGTCATTCCATCCCCAAATTCCATTTGGAAAGCACGCCAGTAACTGCATGGCAGCCACAGAGAGAGACTGCTTTGCTCAAACACTGCCTAACACATCTCAGACACACTTTTTAAACAACATAAGTTAAGTGATTTTCTTCTCAGACATGGCAGAGAGCCTACAAACCCATCTCAGTCAAAGAGGAGAGCTAACCCCAAACTTAGCCTCACATACGAAAACCTGAACAAACCTGTTAGGGAACATGAAGCCACGTTATTCATTTAACATAATTCTCCACTGTTACAGTCTAAGAAACATCTCTCAGTGGAAAATTGTTTCAGTCACACAGTTCCTCTGTCCCACAATGATCCGTGGGTGACAGCAGCTTCGGAGGTTTGCTCTTTACTCTAACCCTCTGAATTGCCTCTGAAATAATCTCCTAATTCCTTCCAGCTCTGTTTCTGCTCTGTCGGGGGAATGAAGGAGTGCTGAGGAGGGGAAGCCAGAGGTCAGTGCCATACCTGCTTGCCCTCAGGAAGGAGGTTCAGCGTGCCGTACACGGCCACACTGCTCTCCGTGGACAGCACCAGCCCGTTGTAACACTGGCACTGCAGGGGAAGGACACAGGAACAGGTAAGCAACTTTTCATTCCTAATTCTCCTACATGTGTTGTAAGTCACACACAAGATCAACTCACAGTCACTTCTGAGCAGTTCTCACACTGACAAATTGCAGAGGTAGGAAATACCATTTACCAGTAATACACTGAGTCAGTAGGTTTAGGAGAACTTTCCAACAACCATGTAAAAGAAAACCAGGTATGAACACTTCAATTAACGACAGAACAGAGCGAGACCATCACAACTCACCAGCTCATCGGAGAGGACACACTGAAGGAACCCTGTGCCATCTCGCAAGACAATGAACATCAGGTTTTTCCCTAGTTAAAAAAAACAAAACCAGAAGAAAAACCTCAGAGAGCCACAGCTTTATTCACTGAGTCATTTGAACACAGCCACTCCCACAACACATTAATCACTGGTGTGCAATTACAGGACTGTGATCAAGTTCTTCTGCTTTAAGAAACAGATGGTTTACCAGTGTAACAACAGGTGCTGTTGGACTCATTTTGTGCCCAGATTTTGATGGCAACTGCTCTTCTCCCACCTCCCTGCCCAGGCTCAGCAGTGCCTGTGCCTCACCTTGCCTGCGCAGCCTGTGAATCCAGCCAAAAATCTTCACCCTCTGCCCTCTGTAAGCCTCCAGAGCATCGATCTTCACCTGCCAGCAGGGAAAGAAAGCCATCACGTGGGGGAACGAGTCACCACTTCACCCATCTCAACCCCTTCTCACAGGGATGGAGAAGCCTCTCGGACACAGGGTGGTCCCAACCCATCCCGGCGCAGCACACACGACCTCCGAATGACCAGGCACAGGCCGTGTGCCGAGGCATGGGATCGCACTCACACATTTGGGCTCTGGAAGACTGGGATCGTTCTTGATAACAACTTTCTTGGCTTCCTCCAGGTTCTTCTCTCTTCTCAAGAGATCTTCTGCCTGGTTATAAAAAATAACTTATTAAATAGCTGTAACTAGGCCAGTTGCAAATAACACATGAAACAGCAGCACCAGCGAGGAACACACTGCAGCCCTGGAGAGGCAGGAATGACAGTGGCACGCTGTAATGGTTTTGGGAAACAAAGGCTCCCTCTGCACCTCACCTCCTTCTTCTCCTTGGCTTCATTCTTCATCTGCTCCCTGTGCCACAGCTTCTTGACATTCTTCATCTGTGACTTGGAAATGATGGCCCATCGCTATGGAACCCGAGGAGAGAGGACAGCACGTTACTCCGTGTCCTTTGTACCAAGGAGCAGAGAAATAATTCCCACTAGGAAGCTCTAATGACACAGTACCTCATTTTCTTTTTGGGAATCCACATAAATCGTAGGAAATGGCTCTTTGCCTGCTGTCATCAAAGCCTAAAAGGGGAGAAAATAGGAGAGATGAACTGAAATGATCCCTACAGAGCCTGAGAAGGCACCCTGCAAACAGGGGCAGAATTCACAGGTCAAAACACACAGGCACCACTTGCCCCAGAGCACATTGCACACTGCTCCAAACAAAGCAGGTGCTGTCCACACTCACCTTCAACACCGTCTTGAAGGGTTTCTTCTGTGTCCCATCACCAGTGCAGTCGCTGCCCTCGCGCTCCGAGACATACAGCTCCTCTGCGGCACAGGACAAACAGCCATGTGCTCAAACAGGGGGCAGGGGGAAACCGTCCTCTGCGGCACAGGACAAACAGCCAGGTGCTCAAACAGGGGTCAGGGGAAACTGGGCCAGTGGTCCCTGAAAGGTCCCTCCCACCCCAAACCTCCATGGGTATCACCAGGGATAAACCT